ACACGCGCATAAATGTTATTATAACGCTATCCAATATGCACATAGGACCTATAGATGACCATGGGCGTCACGAGGGGATGGAAGGGGTGGAAGGAGATTCACTTGCAGCCATCTGGTTTTTTTAAAAAAAAATAATAATATTTATAAATGTAGGATATAGACTATTATCATAATTTTGAGATTTTTTGTTAATCCGCATTACTTTGGAGCCGTCGAAAAAAACTAAAGTAATTTTCTATTATCATACGATTTGAAAAAATATTCTCTCATATTTTACTTAAACATTTTAAGTATTATTTTGAAATCAGTATATATACTATGCACTGTGTACCATTCTTACAAAATTCCTGGTATGTCTATGCAGATGACTACTGTGTTAAAATTCTAAATTAATGCTTTCGTACCCACAAGAACCAATATGCGTAAGAAAATATGAAGAAAAACAATGACTCTATGTTGATACCTGCAATAATATTCGATATAATATAAAATGTAAATACATGTTTTCGTATACTCTTATTTACATTTTACCTTTCAAACTTTATCATAATTTTTTCTGCACTATCATGGCGTCTATGTTATTTTAATAATTTACAACTATTAAGAATATATATTTAATGTTTAGATTTCTTGCAAGGTTCGGCTTAAATAAACAAAATGATTTTTCAAAAAAAACATACCGTACAAAGACTATATATTTAAAGGACTTGTTTATTATTTTTATTATTATTATTATTATTATTACAAACATATTTATATATTATTATTGAGGTCGCTCGAGTAGTTTTTAATTTTTTTTACCCGAATGGAATTTAAAAAAAATAATAATATTTTTCTTCTTTTAGTTAACGTACAGAAATACATCAAACTCATAATAAAAGTATTTCAGAATATTGATAGCTAACATTACGGATGTTAACCTATTCGTATGTATATATATATACCATAAAAAATACTAGTATAAATATATTCAAAAGTTTACACAGCAGATTTTACACTGTGCTAGACATATTACATATGTATTGCGTGCATGATACAAATACTACATTCTGCGCATGCTTTGCGTTCTACTCTTGCGCTCGTTGTGTAACATATGTAAGCACCAACCAAATATAAATATATTAAACGTAACGAAAGACAATAACAATCTTGAGCACAATAATAGGATATATTTTTATACGGCTGTAAGAATAACATTGTAGCGATTCAGGTACCTTACTTTCTGACTTTCACATCGAACACGAACAATTTGATTACATATCTCGCTACAGATGATTGTGTTACGCGCTCGTAATCGGATATCATTGAACCATGCATGAATTTTATACATGGTTAATCTAATAAAAACATTAATGTACGAATGCATAATATTCTGTTATTTCGTATACGGTCTGTATTATAAACGTTGACTAAATAATATTACATTTTTATTATTATGTTTTATTATATTATACTTTACGCGTACAGCATTAAATTAATTCAACAGAAAAAAAACGGAAAAAAGAACATTTTCATTGAAAAATAAACAAGATTAAATTATTTTTGCTAATTTCCCTGGTTCCTTCCATTTTGTTATAACGGTTTCATAATCCACTGCATTATTTCTACGGTCAACAGGTCTGTTATAAGAAATTCTTTAATCGTTACATTATAAATCCGCTACATCATAGTCTACACATACTTACTTACTTGTTCACATGTGGTGTTGCTGTTAACCATGCAATTAATCAACTCATATTTTATATGACATTTCAGATAACACTTGTCTTTTACCTAACATAATAGCAGATTATTATAGTACTTAAAAATTATATTGATGACAACGATGCACAAACATACTTTTCATTGATATTACGCAGATATTACTTTTACACATTTATACAATGAATTTAACTTTCTTTTTCTGCTTACTCGATTGTTCAAACTAATTTATTTAATACAAAACTATATAAAAGTTATCAGTTAAATTAAATTTTATAACACACAACAATGAATTGACTTATGATGTTATGTATGTATAGCGAAACGAATAAAATAATACAATATGTTTAAACAAATCTGTAATACCTACAAATTGTATCATTAAAACAATCATCATTACATATATATATATAGTTAGTAAACAGTAATGATTAAGAAGATGGTAACTGCGAGAAAGTTATCCTTTTTCCAAAAGTCTTTATGTAAACTGCGGCAAGAAAAAACTTAACATTATACAATCTACGACAAACCCGATATGATACATTATACAAGTTGCGGCCATTCATTTTATATACCTATGATATTAAATACTATGTAGTATGACATGTGTACCTGTGTATACCTATGTAGGTATGTCGTTTAATCAATTACGTTATGTTGTGTCTTGCGAACAAAATGGTATAATATATCCAAATTTATTTTTAAGTTTTTCACGAAACATACTAAATATCGATTCCTTTACTATTTGAAATACTAGTTAGTATAAGGTAACCATATTAAGAAAATAAAAAAAAGGGACAGCTGTTACTTCCCCCCCCCCCCAAAAAAAAAACCCTCGACAATATACATTCACACATATGCACACAAATCTCGAGAGTTAAAGTCCAAATCTTTGTCATATCATAAACAATTATTTTATTTTTACTTAACCCTTTTTTAGTTAAGTAACCTAAATAATAAAATATTTTCTTTTAATTATTATTTAATAATATTTTCTCTTAATTATTCACCAACAACACAATGTAGCATTTCAAAACTATTATAATTTTTTAAAAAATTAAAAAAATTAAATTTTTAATATTACAATTAAAGTATTAAACAATGTACTATTACATATAATTCTATTACATTTTTTTTTAACAAGAATTAGGAAAATTATACACAATCAGTTATCTAATCTGGAAATAACGGGATTAAAACGGGACAATCTTGTAAAAACGGGATAAAAAGTGCCCCATTCGAAGTATATCGGGATAACGGGACGTGATGAACAAAAAAAGGATAATCCCGTTTTAAACGGAACGTCTCGTCACCCTAAGTTAGTACCTACATACTAGTATTATGCGTTAGTAAAAGTAGTTAAAAGTTCAATATTTAATTCAATGTGATGGAATTTACAACAGTGTTTAGCCAGAATAACAAACAATGAAAAGTGTCAAACGATTTTAAATTCAGATTTAAATATGACCCAAAAATGATTAGTAACATTGGGACGCGTGAGATGCAACATAATAAAATTAATTAAACGATGTACGCACATAGGTAAATATAGGTACATATTACATACTGTACGAGTATAGTATATAAAATAAATTACCGCTGATTGTATAATGTATCTTATTGGTTTTGTCGCAGATTATGTGTTAAATTTTTCCTTGCCGCAGTTTATACATCGACTTTTAGGAAAAAATATTAATTTTGTCGTAGTTTATATACAGCTAATAGTTATACGCTAAAAATTTGTAAAGATAGACGAACATTTATCATACATTTATTTTACCGAGCATATAGGTACTAGCTGAAACTTTTTTAAGCAAGAGAAAACTTGTACCGATCCGTAAACACCGCCGATTAATGATTACTCATTTAATTTAATAAACAACTTTATACGATTCGTACACGCTTAAATTGGACTGCAGCGAAGAAATAAAAATAAAAAACAACAATCAAATAGTTTCCAACTCGATTGCTACTGACCGACTACATGAAAGTAAAAAAAAAAAAAAACAATCTTATTTTTCTTTACCGAACATAATATATAATTATATCATACAATCTCGACGATTGACGCGGCGTATTCGTAAAGGTAGACACTTATTAACATTAACCTGTAATTCATAAACAGTATAAGCTATTTCTAGTAAATGTCCCCAAGGACGTAACTATTGGATGAAAGTGAAGACTTGTACAGTACTCCCAAGCACCTACATTTCTCAGCCCTGTTAAGTCGAAAACTCCCACAAGAAAATGTTCTGAAAATGTACTTCGCTCCGCTTATTAACAGTTATATCACATTTTTTTTTCGGTAAACGTATGTTGTTTTGCTACAGTTACAATTTATGCTAAGGTTATCCGCTTACGAATTTATTTATTACGTTTACGACTATAGAAACGCTTGTGACTTATGGGTTAGAAACTCAATATTTGTATGGACGATACTTCAGTACTTGTTACGCCGTACACGTCATGAATTTGTGTACGTCATATATATTTAGTCATATGATTACGTTTGATGTGCCTTGGTCGGTAAGAATAACCGATCTCAATGCGTTCTAACAAACTATGGCAACCCAATATGAATCTGTACATGTACACGCACATATACGTGCATCTTTTCTTACGTGACATTATATGACTGCAATGATGGTATCGTACATAATACTTCTTTGACTGCTTGTTGCATAGGACGGGACTTGTAAAAAATGGAAAAATACACATCCGATACCAACTGTCGAGTTAGACACCGCGGTTTTAAAACGGGTCACGAGTCATGAATGACGCGAAATGAAAATTTTTAATTTAAAAACACGCACACACTTACGAAAGGTGACCTGCTGCACCGATTTAACCATGCAACAAGCGTACTTTATAAATAATCTTTAAATAAATGAAAAAAATATTTAACAGTGATAATGTATGTTGTTTTATTAAAAAAAAACCAATTGCAAACAGCCGTGAAGTTCGATCGGTCGATTTAACGAACTCGATGTATTCGCTGTAGACAATTACATAATATTTATAATGTAAATATATATATATATATCTATACATATATTATAGAAACAAAAAAAAAACGTTTATAGAGTTTACAAATTTCTATTTACAAAACATTCATATTATTGCGATTATCTAAACATAATAATTATAATATGTTCGACAAAAATAATAACTATATCCGATACGGTTATGTGTCTTCGGACAATACAAACATGGTAAAGTAATGATTTAAACGACTGTCATTCGAATAATATAAATATAGGAAACGGTAATGAAGCGATCAATAAAAATATAAAATTATGTATTGGACGATATCGGTAGAATATACGCAAGGATATTTCTAATTCTCTTTGTGTTCGTGAAGAATTGTCGGAGAAAGGAAATAGAAATATTCGCAAATTTGCACGTTAATCTACGATTACGATGTTTAACTGAAACCTAGCTATTATAATTAAGGAGTTAAGTGTCGAAAGACACACACGGTATTACAAGTAATAATGTTGCATGTACACTAAGAGAAACGAAGTTTTTTACGCGGATCCACTGCACAATGTAATACGCACTACATTTGTCGAGATAATCGAATAAACGGGAGATATTATCCGCATCGAATTAAAAAACAATAAAGGAGATACTCTAATATAATTTATTATTATTATTATTACTATAATAATAATATCGGAAAACGCACTCGTTTACCTCAGTCGACTAGTTCGGTTTTGATATGATCGTCCGGTGTGGTGGTTGTCGTGTACGGCTGCGGTGGCGGCGTGGGCGTCTGGTTCCGGTCCACGATGACGGCGGGCCATGGGCCACTTCCGCCGATCATCCTCTGCAGGCCCAGCGACTGGCGGAAAGCGTGCAACCGGTGCGCGGCCTGCAACTGCTGTTCGTAGTACCGTTGCAGTAGTCCCACCGGTTCCCAGCCCGGGGCACCGCCGCCGACACTACTGCTGCCGTCCCGGCACGTCATCTCTTCCTCGTCGTCGGTACTGCCGGCCCCCGTTACGGACGCGGCGGTCGTGGCCATCATCATCATCGGGTCGCTCCGGTGGTGAAGCCTTTTCGGCGGGTCGGGCGCGAGCAGCGAGGCCACGTCGAACTGTCGCTTGTGCGCCCTAGCCGGTGCCAGGAGGGCGGACTGCTGCAGTTGGATCGGTTGTGGAGCGACCGGTTGGAAATAGAAAGGCGGTGGATGACCGGTCGGCGTGGGCTGCGGCCACATCGCCGACGATTGCAGGGCCACCGCGGCCACCATGGACGGCTGCACGTGCTGCTGCTGATGCTGCTGTTGCGCCGACGGCGGCGGTGGCGGAGGCGGTGGAGGCGGCGGACTGGGCGAGTCGTTACCATCGTCGTCCACGGCCAGGCCCATGTGCCGGCGCACTTTGCGCTGCGCTTTACGGCGCCGGAAGTCACCTTTCTTGAAGTCGTCCACGTTGGCCGGGTGTATGGCCCAATAGTGACCTTTGCCGTTGGCACTGCGGCCGGCCTTGACGAAACAGTCGTTGAGCGACAAGTTGTGCCGGATCGAGTTCCGCCAACCAGGGCCCCGGGTCCGGAAGTACGGGTAATTGTCCAGTATGTACTGGTAGATGTCGGACAGCACGAGCTTGCCCTCAGCCGAGCCCAGTATGGCCATGGCGATCAGCCCGATGTAGCTGTGCTGAGGCTTGGGCTCGTCCGCGTTCTGGCCGCCGGCGCCGACGCCCGGATGGAACAGGGCCACCGGGAACCGGGGCGGGTAAACGCCGGCGGTGGTCGAGCCCGGGTACACGGGGCATACGGCGCCCCATCCACCGCCGACGGCCGACAGCCGGAGCCGTTCGGCCTGCAGCGCGTAGTTGTACAGATGCAACCGGTACCGGTTGAAGTTGGCCTGCGACGAGTCGGTGCCGGGCTCCGAGCCTTCGTCCGTGGGCCTGCTGCACATGACGGCGGTACGGTCGCGAATGAACGGCTCGGGCCGCGGTGGACGGTCGCGCTGCTGCTGCTGCTGCACAGCACGTTGTCGTTGGTACGCCTACGAGTCACCCCACCACCCTTCCGGCCGTCAAGCGCGCGCGCGCGCGCGTCCGCCGCGGCACAACAACAAATACACAAACATCGGAGCGGCCGCTGCGGCGCGTACGTGCGTACATACAAATTTGTTTTATTTTTATTCCCCGCGTCACACGTATGTATATTTACATATATATGTGCCTGTCTGTGTGTTTGTGTGTGTTCGTTTTTCTGTTTCGATTTCTGCAACGCTCTTTCTCGCCGTTTCTCTCTCACTCTCTCTCTCTCTCTCTCACCCTCCGGCATCACCGACCCGTACGCACACGTCGGTTTCTCACCCACCTCTCCCTCCGGTCGGTTCTCGCCGCCCCTTCTTTACCGTCTCCGACGAATGCTCGTGTCGTACGCGCGCCCGGGAGAGGGGAAAACACGGGTAAACATTATTGTCGCGCGAGAGTTTTCGGGGGCGTGACGACGGCTACGGCGTTCCGATTGGACCGACCCGGTAACGCCCTGCACTCGGTCGTTGTCGCCGCGCCGCCCGAGTTCCTGTTCCCCGGGACACCGCGCGCCCCGCGATTCGCGCGCCCCGTCATCCCGTTTTTATCGGCTTCACGTTCACCATACGTACTTACTGTACACCGGTATACGGTATACGGTGCTGTTGCCGGGTGTGCGTGTGTTTAAAATGCGAAGAAGAGGAATGTGACGACGACGATGACGAGAAAGGGGAGAACGCGATCGGACGTGAGGGAGACAGATTTCGTATAATAACAATATATACATGTAGGTACGATGCACGTATATATAAATATAACATAAACTCTCTGTGTAAAACAAATTCTCGTCTATTGAGTTTCTCTTTGAGATTGTACAATATTGGCTACGAAAATCTCGTGTACATCTCGTATAAGTACATCAACTCAAATCCGTTTGTACTCGTGTCTAACATCGCGACGATGTGATACTTATAATGCACATTGCACATCCACATTTTTCCATTTTGTATAAAAAAAAAAAAAAAACGATTTAACCGCCGATTTTTTCACCACATATAACATGACTACGATAAGTAGCAGGGATCATGCATTATTCTGTTATAGTGATTTTCATTATCCGTATGTACTGACAAGTACAAGATGTTTATTATACATATCGGCCAATGGTTGTTATATTAATAATATATTGTAATATATTGTACGGCAGGCACGTTTAAAATGTTATCAAACGTATAATGTGCACACATACTTCTGCATAATTATTATTTATTATTACAATATATATATATATATATATCTACAATTATTGTACACTATGATGTGATAAGTATTTGACGATCGGTTTATTCGGTATAATTTGAATAAATAATATACCTATAAGATCAACTGGAATTTATTTATATAAGATTATAAGATATATAATATATGTATGTTTTACTTTATTATATTGTTAATAATATTATAACATTTTGTAATGATAATAATCTTTTGAATACCTGTATAGTTTAAATATCAATCATTCGTTCATTGATTTCTGCATCACAAAAAAGAAAAAAAATACGAGCTGGAAACCTTGGAATTATGGTTTTTCCAATGCTCTAGATGTGAAATAAGAAGAGATTTTTAAAATATTTTCGTTTAAGCCGATAAATTTTGCATTTAAGCGGATCTCACAGCAAATTCGTAATATTTCGTCGAGTATAATCACCGCAATTCTTAATGCTGACTTTGGACTTAATTTATTGTTTTCAATTGCAACATGGTATATTTTTTTTCGTAGGCACGCGACCAAATCATTAAATTATATTGGATCGATCGCATTATAGGTTTAGGTTATTTCTTTTTCATATTCAGCAATATAATAATAATACTATGCAATAATAATAATATGCATACTCGAGTAATCCGTTCGAATTAAATTTAACAAAAATAAGCAGCAATATAAAATGTCGACTATGCAATAACATAAACTACTATTTTATTCTTAAATTGTTTTTATCGTTATTGTATTCACGTGGACAAGTTTCCTCATCGCCTTAATGTTTAACTTAGTGTTTTTTTTTTTTTTTTTATTGTATCTTAGGCGAAGTATCCTAAGCCTAATCCACATACAGAAGTGCATCAAAGTCTTATGAGTGTTATTTGTCCTATAAAAACTTATCATCAGTTAATAATAGTTTATTAATTTATTAAATTATATGCTATGAAAAGTTTATAAAAAAAAAAATGTATTTCTAATACTTAATTTTAATTCTGCCAAAAACACAATTTCACGAACAATTAAGTCTGAAATAATGCGAAAAATTACTGACGCTTTTCTACCCTTATAACCCCTAACCCTAACCAAGGCTCGGAACATCAGGAATTTGCATATTTATTTAGAAAGTGAACATTGAAATTTTGATTCTATACAAATTTGATCGATAGTATACAGATTTCAAATAAAAAAATTTTTGTTGCATAGTTTTGCACATTTTATTTTATTTTTTTAAAAAATGTGCATGTTTTAGAGAGAACTTTTATAAGCCTATTTCATAGATTTAAGAAAACAATTTTTTTTACAAAGTTATAGTTCAATTAAAAATATTATGACAACCAAAATATTAAATTTTATGTACATTCTTTGACAAAATAAATAAATAGATTCATGGCTATTTTAATATTGTTTCCAATGCACACATGATATTATAAACTCTTTTGTACTGAAAAATCGTAATAGTGATTGCCGACCGACTTGAATTTTTTTTTCTAAATTTGCTAAGGCATTATTATTATACTTTATATTATAAATAATATAAAGTGGTCGTTATCAGTATTTATAAATTTATACTCAAGAAGATTAATGTTTGATGAAAATTGTATAGCTTGTATGAAAGCAAGACACACAAACACACAATTGTGTAGTGTTTATTTATTTTTTTAATTTTCTATTCATTTTTTTACCCATGTACCTAATTTACATAAATTACATATTTTTGTATATTTTCCAAATTTTTACTGTTTATAATTACCACTTATTATGATATCTTACAACGCTTATGTATGTGCATATTTTAGTACTTTTTAGCGCATTAAGTTCCGAGCCCTGATTATAATATTTATATGATCAAGCTACTATTAACTAATATTAATTACAGCTAACTATTTCTAAATTATTCTAACTACAATTAATTAATACTAAATAAATAACTAGATAATAATAGTTTAATTAATTTTTCTTAACTGTAAATTAATAGTTATTAAATTCACTAATAATTAAAAATAGTTGCCTTACAACCATGACACAGCTCAATCATATAATTTTCTTCTTCATCTTTTTCGTGCTTTTTTAATCCGACCACTATAGGCTAATCCAGTGATGTCCAACCTTTTTCCTTTGGGGAGCCACTTTGGTAAACAATTATCTTCAAGCGGGCCACAAAGTATAAAAGTACAAAAATAATCTTATATATTGGACTTGTTTTCTTATCTTTTATCGTCTATTGAAAAGATTATGAATTAAAGTACACATTAGTTTGATTAGTACGTTATTTTAAGCACGCGGATGATATCGATATTTAATAGTAAAGTTTGTATATGAAAATGTCAGACAGAAAAAAACGCAAATATATTGATGATTGCCGAATTTTCAATAGTCTATAAATTACTTTTTCATTGAAATTAATGGAAAAGCTGTTTGTCTTGTGTGTCGTGTAACGGTTTCAGTTTTTAAAGAATTTAATATCAAACGACATTATGAATCAAAAAATGTCTTACATTTTTAAAATTTTTTTTTATTTTAGAAAATTCGTAACAAGCCACATAGAATACCTTTGCGGGCCATATGTGGCCGCGGGTTGGGCACCACTGGGCTAATCCATGTCATCATCTAATATGACATTTGAAAACTTGAAAAAAAATTAAAAAAACATAAAACTAATTCACTTATATAAACATATTTTTAAATAATAAAAAGCAATAAAATTTAAATAAAGTACTAAAATATGTAAGTATCCAAAACGTAATGGAATAATTTCGTTCTGTTGATTTGTTTAGCACAACAACCTATTCGATTTTTTCCAACACATTTTTTAAAATAATTACCAAATGAATCCAATATCAACAATTGTAAATTTTTTAAAAGCGTACATTCGTATAATTGTCCAAAATTTAAGTGAAATCAAATATTAAAATATAAAAAACTAACCGAAGTTTAGTATTTTACGGTTTTGGAATCATTTTTACCCAATGACTGTCTTGTTAGTGATTCAACTAGTAAATCATAATTTAGTTTATTGTTTATACCTCTCTATATATGTGTACATATATATAATATGTTATTTATTTATATATTATATAATTATTATAAGTCGTAGGGCTATTTAAAAAATATGATCAAAATTAATAATTTATAAGTATTTTTTGTAGATATATGAGTATGTGATTTATAATAAAAAATATAAAGAATAAACAGAATATTTTAATTCACAAAATAACTTTTATTGCGTAAATATGCCTGGAACCAATAACTTAACACCCTTAGGTCCTTTACATTATAATGAAATAATAATGAACCAGATACATTTGTTAGGGAATATAAGAACTTTAATTTATAAAGCAAATGATACTGTTATACCATCAGATTTTTTTATCCCGAGTAATGTAATACGTTCAATTGTAAAGCTATATACAATGCATCAACAAGATTTTTTAGCCTAAATACATATATATTTATAAATTTACTACATATGATATGTATTATTTTCAATATAATTTATAAAACAATACATACTGCAGTGTGAGCGATCTGTTATATCAGTCGCAATATATTTAGAACGACTTTTTACAATTTACAAGGGGGGCAAAAAGAAAAATATAAAATGAATAGAATGAAAATATCAACTTATATCAACAGAAAAATAACTTGGAAAATGTACGTCAATTTATAGGTAATACACGCTGTAAAATATTTGGAGTTCATCGAAATCGCATTCGTGCCTAGACGTACACACACTATGTACTCAATAATATGTATCTATCATGCGCTGCAGAGCATCATTTCT